AGAGAGAGGAAGCAGTTAAAACTCATCTTGTTTGAAAAATAAAAAATTAGATATTTTCCTAAATAAAAATTAAGTTCTGCTCATAGATTTTTACGTTTCCCATCTTTTTTAACTATCTACAGTTCATTTTTTGTTTTGATAGTTCCCCTTTTTAAACACAACTATCAGCCTAACTTAGGAAATTTAAAAAAATGATTGCAAAACTTTTAAATATACTAAAAATTACTCAACAATTGTATACTCACAACAAACACATTTGTGCATTATTAATAAAAATACAATTACGTTTGCAAATAGTTTAAAAGCCCCTTATTACAAAATATTTCATCAGAAGTTTCAATTCTGCATGGAACAAAACAATCTCACCAATTAGAAGAACTTTAAATGAAGGAACAAAACTCAGCAGAGTTATAAAAATAGATTGGAAAGAAAGTTTGATTAAACCACAGATGCATTACCAGTAAAAGTGTGGGAAGCATGCTTACCATGTATTTTCTACCTTCCCATTTTAATATAGAACTTTAAAAAATTTTTGTATTTAGTCTGAATCTATTCAATGTTTGCATAAACACATGGTCCATAAAAACCATTAAACCATTGACTTCTAGTTTGCTGTATAGGGTACAGTCTGCTTCTGGCAGTTGAATGCAGGTGTGCCGAATATGGTGTACGGCTGGTACACTTAATACTTGGAGTGGTCGCATTCAGTGGGTTAAGTTGAATTTGTTGTAGCTACTTTTGTTTTACCCTAAAGATAGTAATGTTTGAAATAAAAGAAAAGTTTAAACTCTAGATGCATTTGTAATTAGTTATAATACTTTGTCAAATAAGGATCAAAATGCTAAATACCTCCAGAAACACAGTGGCTGCTCGATAAAACTGAATAGTCAGAACAACCATCATGGTTAGTAACTGTAAAAGTCAAATAAAAAGTAGTAATGATCATCAGACAGAATTCATGACAAAGCATTATAATGGTCAATAATTATAACACCTAAAATTAAAATGGTTAATAATGACCACAGGCTTCAATAATAATAGTAAAAATGATCAAAAGACTTAATGTTATAACGGTCAATCATTAAAACAGTAAAAAGTCAAGTACTGTGTTGAAGAGTCAGTATAAATGTTCCAAGCTGTGCTAGAATATCAAGGTTGGTTTTATAAATTGTAGGTGTCTCAACGTGTAAATTAAAAAACAGGGAAAGTAAAACAGATAATACCTAACATCTCAATAAAACAGAAAAAAATCAGTTTTCATCACACAACTTAACAACTAAAAAATTATTTTGTACAGAGACGTATTTAAGCAAAATTGGCCCACAAAAGGAAATGTCATTGTAAGTGCTGTACGAACCTAAGTATACTAAGAAAAATACGTTGTGTTTAACAGGGGATTCTTCGTTTACTGTTGGTCTATTAATGAAGTTGCTTCTTGAGAATTCTTTGAGAAGGAATGCCAGCTTTCAGTGATTGTTGACTGTTTTTAACCTGGTCCGAAGGGGTTACGGTACTTCTAGAAGGGGGTGTTTGGGACTCTCTTGGTTCTTCAGCCAATTGAGATAGGCTTGAATGATTTGATGCATCTTGAGTATTCTTTCTTGATTTAGAAGCTATAAAGATAAAATGGATGCATTAATGTAAGCCGTGTAGCTAGAAATGCTGGTGGCTCATCCCCACTATTCAAAAGAGAGCAGTCAGTCATGTTCATGTCACTAATGACACCAATAACTGTTACAGTCAGTCATTTTCATGTCACTAATGACACCAATAACTGTTACAGTCAGTCATGTTCATGTCACTAATGACAAAAATAACTGTTACAGTCAGTCATGTTCATGTCACTAATGACATCAACAGCTGTTACAGTCAGTCATGTTCATGTCACTAATGACATCAACAGCTGTTACAGTCAGTCATGTTCATGTCACTAATAACATTAACAGCTCCTACAGTCATTCATGTTCATGCCACTAATGACATCAACAGCTCCTACAGTCAGTCATGTTCATGCCACTAATGACATCAACAGCTCCTACAGTTAGTCATGTTCATGCCACTAATGATATCAACAGATCCTACTGTCAGTCACAAGTGCCACTAATGATATCAACAGCTCTTACAGTCAGTTATGTTCATGCCACTAATGATATCAACAGATCCTACTGTCAGTCACAAGTGCCACTAATGATATCAACAGCTGTTACAGTCAGTCACATGAATGCCACTAATGACATCAACAGCTCCTACAGTCAGTCATGTTCATGCCACTAATGAAATCAACAGCTCCTACAGTCAGTCATGTTCATGTTACTAATGACATCAACAGCTCCTACAGTCAGTCATGTTCATGTCACTAATGACACCAACAGGTGTTACAGTCATTCATGTTCATGCC